TTTTTATATTTTATAAACACAGATTATAAAGGTTATAAATCGAAATGTATTTCTTGAAAATGGACAGTTTTTTTACAATGAAAGTAGAGAAAATGTTTTATGAGCACTTTACAGTGGAGTCCGTGCCCGAATTTAAGTTATAGTTTACTGCCGGCGAAATTAAAAGGTCAGTACAATGTTCAAATAAACTTTTCAAATATTGGCGATGAGAAACTATTTAATACTTTTGTATTTTTGTATTGAGATAATAAAATAATTTTCACATTTAGTATTATTTTACAAGAAAGGCACTTTATTTTAAAGATTGGATGACATTTGACAACTGTCAACTATCCTAAAACTAACTTCAGCCCGTGACTAAAAACCTGTTGCTAACTTCAGCCCGTGACTTAAACGCCGTAAAGCCACAACTTGTCAATGTGTATTTAAAAGGTCACTTAGTGTCCTGGAAACATGTACGATAATGGTCGTTTTAAAGGTGGGAGTAGAAAAAATTATTTTAGATGAATCGGGTAAAATTTTAAATTCAACATTAGTCAGGTCTACCTAACCTCGCTTTTTACTTTTAACAATTATAATTGGATGTTTTATGCACAAATAACTACTTTATAATAATAATAATAATTTATTTGCCCAACAGAACAATACATTCCAATAATAGGAAAAAAATATACAATTATATGCAAATAGAGAACCTTAGGTTTCAAATATATCTTTAGCAATAGCTAATAAATATTTTAAGCTATTAAAAAAAATCACATGAATGGCTTATTAAAATGTAGTTGTTAGTTATAACATGAACTGGTGAGTATGCAGTACGAGCTTTATTGCAATAAAACATATTACTATTACGAGAATTAAGTCTAGGAACATGTAGATTAAACATAACTAAGATATCAGAACAGTCAATCGTTGTAAAAAACTGTGTACAAAAATTTTAACCCAGAACATATATGTTCTGGGTTAAAATTAAGAGTATACTCTTCGAAAATGCAGTGAATCAACATTAAATCTTTCAAGTAATAATTGATAATCAATGCCCTGTTTGGGTTCACATAATCCAGCCTAAATGCCAGAAGTTTTAAAAACTTACGTTGAACATTTTTAAGTAATATAACTGAGTTATTATAGTGCGGAGACCAAATAATACAGCAGTATTAAATTTTAGATCCTAACAGATGTATAAGGATTTTAAAGCGATTTCAGTTTTAAATCCGCGCGAGTTTCTGCTAATAAAACCTAATAATTTACATGCTTGGGAAACTAAATTTTGTGTATGACTCGAGAATGTTAATTTAATATCAAATAATACGCCAAAATCATTAACACTTTCACAAAAAGAAAGAACATTATTGTTTTATGAGTATTGGTAAGTTATCAAATCATTCTTAAGGGAAAAAGTACAAGTTTTGCATTTGGAAATGTTCAAAACCAGCACCATTGATGTACCACATTCAGATGTACATAATATTATTATTCCGGCTAAAGTAACTGTTTAAAAAAATGAAAACTTGCCAGACCTTATATATAATAGTAGCTTTTCTACTAATGAGTAGACCGGATTCTAGACAGAATGCCTTTTGAAAGGGGCGTTAAAATTCTTCGTGGAAAATGTATTATGGACATTTTAAGTTCAATTTAACCCAATATATTTTTTTTAAATATATAGTGCCTAAATTCTTATGTAAAATAGTAAACATAATGCCTTTTAAGTACCTTTAATTTTTTTTTAACTTTATTGTTTTGAAAATTGTACATTATTTTTTATTGAACGTATTTTTGTAACAAAAACAAAATTGATTACTCTTTTAAAAACCAACGAGACAAAATGTGCCTTTTTGAATTTTTCGTGCCTTTTGGGGTTACATTTCAGGAGCCTTTTATAAGTTTCTTAAAGTCCGGTCTCTACTAATGGGGCCTTACTGTTTAGTCTACCTGGCAAATGAAATATGAAAGTACAAACAATTCAAAACTCACCCTAATCTTTCTTTAGGCCAAAGTGTATTAAAACTATATAAAAATAAAAATAAAAACCATTATTATTATTTTAATGCTATTAGGTAATAAAGACTTTGTTATGTATTTTCATTTATTTTTAATAAAAAATACTTTGATTATATTTTCTTCGGAGGTGTATTCTAACAATCCACAAACGACTAAAAACATAAAATATTAATTTGGATAAGAAGCTTTAGGTGCAAGGAAATGTATTGTGATTTTAAATACGAAAATGCGATAGTGAAATAAATACCCAATTATAATAGTCAGATGTAATTAAAGTAGAGGAAACATCTTATTTGAAGCATTATTTGCCCTTTAGCACTAATTATAATTATTCAAATTTGTCGATAACATGCAAAGCTTATATAAATCCATGTGTTGAAATGTTAAGCAAGAGTTCCGTGTAAATCCGATTCAGCGAACATGTTCATTAATATAGAGTTCAGCCGAGATAAAGCAGCTAAAAGCCCCGGCTAAAGGCTATGCGAAAATCGTATGTCACACTCATTTGAATGTATCCATCAACTATTGATTGTGAAAATACGAAATAATATACATAACAATGAGTTACTTAATACAACCACTGGTTCAACTAGGCACATAAATGTAATGTTGTCCTTAACAGTAAAAAAAAACAACAAAGCAACACTAATTAGAGTTCACACAGGTCCACACTAAATAGTGTTGTTTTATAACACTACCATTAAAGTTAATTTTTAGTGTAATTTTCCCCAAGTAAGCAAGAATGATTTAACACTATAGCACTGAGGATAAAGTAATTTTACACTGTATTAAAAAGTGTTAATTTACCTAAAATCGTGTACTTCTACACTTCCTGGGTAAAATCCCACTTTTGTTCACTACTTTGGAAAAGTTCTAATTTTAGAAAGGTACTTTTACTCTTTTAGTGCAAACTTCTAGTGTAAATTAACATTATTATTTGAGTAAAACCTATTGGTGGTAGTGAATAAAACGAAAAGGTAAATAAAGAGGAACATTTATTTGGAACAAAAATCTATGACAATTATCAAAATCGGTGCCTTTTAAAATATAATTTTATATTTGAGTCGTATGGCTGGCTTAAGCAAAATGGTTCCTTAAAACGTAAAAGTTTTAGATCAATGCAATGTTTTACTGGCTGTCAACTTGTAAACAATGAATTATCTTGAGAATTCATCATTAATCCATTTTTCTGTTATAAAAAATGGGTGATCCCATTGGTAGAGAGGCGTCAGGCGGCTGTATGTCAGAGATTTACCACACGTGTACAAATTTTCCCTAATATTAATAAAAATGTAGGTATAGGTTAATATAACAACCATTAAGCTTGAAAATAAAAAGTTAATCAAGTGTGTATGTATTTATATTATTAATTTTACAAATACCCTACCTACTGCCGTAAATTATTGATATATATATATATATATATTATAATATAGGTCGGGTATGGACATCCTTTTAACATATTGCTTTTATTGAGTATTAAGGAAAAGAAAAAGGAAGCATAATACTTACCAAAAAATAAGAATGTCCCCTTATGGATTCACCGTAATTAAAATCTAACTGAACAAAAATGCCACACTTCCACAACGCGGTATCTCCGGATATGCACTGCTTAGGTAGATAGGTACTAACCAAACATTTTAAAACGCATTTCAGTTATTACAGTCAGTCCATTTTGCCACTATTGTTGTAATTTAACTTTAATTGTGATACAATGTGCACTAGTAGTGTAAAGAAAAAAGAGCTCTTAGTAACATCAAAACAAACAAAGAAATTGGCATGCACTTTAGTGTACATTTTGTCACTATTTAACACATTAAGGGGAAATAAACACTCGCATTAAGTTTTCTACCCCTTTGATTTATTTTAATAATAAATAGTGTGGATGTACCAATGAATAATGTTCATATTCTTTAAATGTGTTTAATAAAGTTAATAAGCACTAAATGCTACCTAGTGTATTTTGTAGTGTAACTTTTACACTTACAAATCAACTCTAATATTTTTACCCCCACACTAAAAAATTTACACGGGCAAAATTTTTTACTGTGTACTTTATTGTAAAAGTTATGCTTATGTTTGCTAAATCCTTTACGGTGCATATCATATTATATTCGTTAAAAGATGCTTAAACTTTCAACATTAAAGCCCGACTATATTAAATCAATTATAATTATAAATTGAAGTGGTATGTCGTAATAATGTTATTATTTAAACTTAATAATAACTCCAACAAAGTTTGTACCTTGTACGTTTTTAAAGCGATTAATGTTTCATTTAAAAAGAGTAAATAATTTATGTATTAGCTTGGGGGAAATTTACATGCTGTAAAATTAATTAATCAATAAGTGTAAAGAGGTAAAGGATTTCGTTTCTTTTCTAAATTTTCGAATACCGCTATATAGGTTATTAATTTTACAATATTCTAAAAAAAATAAACCCACTGTTTATTTTAAATGAAACTTGTTTGTGTTCTTTTTTTTGTAAAGCGAAGCCGCTCTTTGTTTTTATTTTAAACTAAAACGTAAAACAATCTGCTATAAAGACATTTCGGAATGAGATTTTACAAAAAAATTAAATAAAAGACCTCACTCGACAATGTGATCTGATTGTAAAATAATAAATCGCATTTTAGGTACCTATCTAAAATCTTTAAATTCACTTATCTATCCACTCTCCAAGTCTTTTATTTATAACTCCTACATTTTAAAAAGAAAAATAGAAATATAAATCGTAATTTCATAAGATATTGTCAATATTGAATTGTTCAGAAATAAAAAATCCTAAAATTTTCTGGAACAATGCAGAATAAAAATGATAAAATATCCATTACTGAATGTTATACATGGTGCACCAAGTATGGGTATCTTCTTTATTTGAAGAGCTACAAGGTTAATAACAAACATTAATAGATCCTTTTTATTTGAAAAACAAGACAGAAATAACTAATTTGTTTTTTATTAGAATTAAATGTTTTGTTTTTGTTTTTGTTTTAGATTTGTTTAGATCAGCAGCTGAGGCCGGTCCACGAGACATCTTAAAACTATACAACCATGCTGGTCAGCTTTTGAACATAAGTTCAGATCTCCCAGAAAATTCGAGAGAAATACCCTATTCCTTACAAGTAAGAATTAAATTAATTTTAAGTCACATTAAGTTAATGTTTAATATTTTATAGATTATTTTTCAAAACATTTTTTTATGGTACTAAGATACAGAATATTGAATATAAGTAAAAATAAGAAATTCGATACATTTAAAAATTCTATTGATATGATATGATATGGCCATATGGGTGGTAAAACATTACGTAATGTAACAAAATTACCAATTTATTTGTTTAAAGGTTGTGGCGGCTAATGGTTTGGCAATGTTGCAAGAGACAACAGGTACAGATTTAAAAGCATTGGAGGCACGAGTGTCGGCCATCGAAAGACAAATGAAAAGCGAACTTCCTTTGCCGCATGCCGTACAGGAATTACAAAAAGAAGTCGACGGGTTCCGGGAAAAATTGGAAACATCAGAGGGTCTAAGCTGGCTTGGTAAGTAATACATTATTGTCGATGTTACGAATCATTTTTACATTCAAAGAATTGATTTTTAATTTTCTGAAAGTAGGATAAAGGGATATAAGTTGGAAAAATATAAAAAGTTGCATTTATTATAGAAAAACTCGGCAATCCAACCCTAGTAACAATTTAAGTATTTGTTACCTATATGGGACTATTGAAGAAACTTAAAAGTGTTTTGCGACAGTCGCCGGTCTCTTTATATTAATCTTTCATTACTAAGTTACGACTAAAGTAAGGAACAATTATTGAGTTCCAAAAAGGTAACAAATATGTCACTAGCTATAAACCCTGCTACTATTTGGAACGTAGCTGCTACGTTACTAGAACGTTCCAATATCGTTGCCAGAGCGTTATAATTACTTTTATTTATTTGTTTTTACTTTTATATTAACTGTCTTTTTCAAACTTATATTAGATTATACTATCCCTCCTTTTTTAAATGGAACCACTATTGACTTTTCAATGTCGTCGTTTATTAAATATGTACTGGTACTTTATAACCAGAATAACAATATAATGTTTAATTAGGCAGGTAAGTTTATAAACCCTTTAAAATTTACTGTTGAACTTAAGAATTTTGTTTTTGTTAAATAAATGCGTTTCATCAATATTTAAGTATAAACAAATTATTTATTTAATAATGTTTATAAATAAAAAAAATCTTAATATTTATTATTAATTTTTTATTTAATTATTAATACCGTCTATTACCAGCAAAATTACAATTTATTAAAAAGTAAACAACCTTTTACAAACAGTAAAAAATGTCCGATAAGAATCATTTTCCTTTGAAGTAGTTTTCGCTACTCTAAAGTTTTTTTCAATCTTAAACTAAATTAATAACTTTTTAGTTTTTCAGTCATGTTCCAGTTTTGAGATTTTAACTTGCAAAGGGACTACAAAGTAAAAATAATTATAATGTAATCTTTAGGTAGCAACCAAAAGTAACTGCTACAAATTAAATTTACTTGAAAGTTTTTTTTACTTATAACACCTTTTTTAAAGTTGCAAAGCCTTCGTGGGGGCAAATTTTACTTAAATGCTTATTACTTTATAGTAACCATTTAAGGAAAGAATGAAGTTTTTGTTGCGAAATATTGCTATTTAAAAGTTAGAATTACTTTTAAGTAAAAAATAAAGTAGCTATTTAGTATACTTAACTAATTAACTTTGGCAATGGTTTTTGGAACCAAAAATGCTGCTTGGGAAGTGTCGAAGGCACGCGTTAAACTGAAATTTGCAAAGAAAAATCTGTCCCAAAAGGTTGCGGATGTGGACGCAGATACAAATGTTATAATGATGCAAAAGTCTCTAACACCACTGCTTAAAACATTGATGGTTATTCATAATAATTATTTGGCACACTGAAACTTATGAAGTAATTTTTACTGTCAGTGTTTATTAAGAAAGAAAGAAATATAAAGTATAAATACAAAAAATATATATATCTTAAAACTCTTAACCATAAACTAGAAAATGACCCATATATTATATTTCAACAGATAGTGTAATTAGTTTAATCAATTCAGGTTTTACTAGCTTAATTAACATTATTACATTTAATTAGTACAAAATAAAGTTAATTTTAATAAGCCACTAAACTTGACAGCCCATTTGCTCTGATAAGATAAAATATGTCGAAATAAAGTTTGTTTCATTAAAGTTAAAAAGTTTCTTTCGGTTATACTAAAATACTTAAAGATGAAATCCCAGCAAATCTGACAATTTTAAACTTTATACAACAACAATCCTTATTACAAAGATTATTTAAGGTAGGTATTATTATTTTAGGTATACCTATAGGTATTATTATTAGTTATACATTATGTGCCGGCGCTCCATCTTGCTGCCATATGACTTTAATGTAAAACCCGTCAGGATTAACGTCAACTATTTTTTCAATCATCGGATAAATTTGTGTTCGAAGCATGTTTAAATACAAGATTTGTTTTGGGCCTTACTATACTGAAAAACCTGTTTTCCCAGCAAAGTTTGTTTAAAATGCATGTTTTAAAGGCACCTTAATCAATGTATGAAACATTTTTTTTGTACTTTTGTCCCTTAATTTGACAAATAACTATAAATAAATATTTTGGATTGTGTTTTTTACTAAGTACTTAATACATTTATAAGTAGTTTATGGTATATTTTACTATTATATAGATAACTGAGATAAATAAAATTGGTTTCATATATGAAACCAATTTTATTTATCTCAGTTATCTATATAATAGTAAAATATACCATAAACTACTTATAAATGTATTAAGTACTTAGTAAAAAACACAATCCAAAATATTTATTTATAGTTATTTGTCAAATTAAGGGACAAAAGTACAAAAAAAATGTTTCTTCTCTATCAATTTGTGAAGTGGTATTAGGTATGTATAATTTGCAAAAATAAATGTTGGTTGTTGGTCAAAAATATATTATGGTTTTGACCAACAATTATTTAACTGTATAGTGAATATACATAGGTGCCAATAATTAAATGTACCTATAAAAAATGGTGACTGTATTGTTAGGTTACATAACAAATAAATGTAGTACTATATTTATTTGTTTCAAAAATTATAAAAAAAAATATTACATAGCTTTCATATTATTTTTTTTAACAAGCCAAAAATTACCATTTTCAATATATACATTAATATCTCCTTATATGTAGGTATATTTTTACTAAATAACTATAAGTATTATTTAATTTTAGATGCAGTGCAAGAATTTGACCATACCTGTACCAAAAAGCAAATTGAAATGCATATTGGATATTGGTTAACAAAATCAAAAGAGAGATTAAAAAAAATTCGTATTTAAATTTAAATGAATTGTTTTTAGAATATAATGATTTTGTTTTTTTATGAAGAACTATTTGATTTTTTCTTTTATAAAGAATTATTTCATATTTTAATTTTATTTTATGTTAAAAATAAATATTAATTAATTTGTATACCGATTTTTTATTTCTGAAATAACATTTGTATGTATAATAATCCTAACTATCTTGAACATATCAATCTAATCCAACTTATCCCACAAAATTTTCCAATTTTACTTTTTATGAAATAATGTCATACAACTTATGGTTTAGAGGTCAAATTGTTTATTTAATATTTTTAAATAAATATATTAATATGTCGCAAAAATTTTTACGAATGTGGAATAATAATAATAATAATATAAAAAATAAAATAATTTTTATTTAGCAATAGATGCTAGTCATAACATATACAATTATAACTTCTCTAAGCAGAAAGGCAATCTTTTCGCTGATTCAAAATAATTACAAATAGTAACATATTAGAACGTGGGTATCTGACATATTTGGAAATATTCTTAAAAGCTCCATAAGAAACCTTCTAAGAATATTCCAAAAACGTATTCTTAAAATGTTCTTAGGATGCTTTTTAGGAAGGTTTTAAGAATCTAATTGGATCATTAAAAGGGTATTTATTGAATGTTTTAAAAGCCCCTAAGAACATTCTTAGCATTAAGGGAAGCTTCTAAGAATATTTCATTATTCATGGTCATATCTGCTTAGAAGATTCTTAAAATCAAATTTTGATATCACGGTTTATTATAAATTGCGAAAAAGTCAGATGTCAAATTTATTAATTAAAATTGGTTTTAAATTCTTATTTCTGTTTGTTGTTATTAAAGTATGGTATGCAACTCGTTTTTAAAAACTTCTCTAAACACTCGTTTAGCGCGTAAAAAAACTTTTACAATATATCACTTTTTCTTCCCTGCCTTAAGATTATACGCATGATGGATAGTATATTTGGTCAATTTTAAACTGTATATTTTTCCCTAAAACATTTTTCATTCGCGCGTAATATGCTACTAACATCTCTTGTAATACAATATATTATTACGTCTGTCAGAATGTAAAACGTTTGAAACAGGAAACAAGATAAAGACGTACGAAATTCGAAGACAGTTTTTGTTCCCTTCCTGTTATATTTTTTATCCGGACAGAATGTGTAAACAAGACCGGAAGTGTTTTGAAAATACTCGAATCGATATGTCTTTCCCATACTCCAATGACGATGATAACGGATTCGGTTATTTTGATCTTCCGGGAAAAAATATAAATAGTAAAAACATATGTAAAAGTAAAAAAGTAGTTTTAAAGTAATTAAAATGTGAAAAATATAAACCAGTGGCTGGAGACATGTCTGCCGTGTACGAACAATAATTCGTTCTGATTGGTCAAATTGGTCATGTGATCTAAAGGAAAAGTTAGTTTTCTTTCTCGTGTAAGGATTTTTCCACTCAATAGAAAACCATTACTTTTCGTCACTTATAGAACAATATACTATTTTTTTATTTATTTCAAACTTCGACATCATTTCAATGGATAGTTTTATAAAAACAAACGTAATTGACTTTTTTTGTAGAGCATTTAATTTTCTATTTATTAGCGAATTATAATTTTTTCTTGTCTTTAAATTTAATAAAGTTTCATCATTTAGGCAGGGAAAAAATTAAAAATTACAAAATTGTTTTTAAGATGTAAACGTAAGTGAAAAAGACTGCTTGGGAAATAACGGACACCCTAATAAAAGTTATATTACATTTATTTTTAAAAATTAACCAATTTTCTTCATTTACGTTCCAGGATTCTTTAAGCAACTGCCAGAACCTATGTCAACTGAAGAACTACGCAAACTTCAGTACAGACGAAAAAGCGACTCTGTTAAGAAAAGGGTTAAACAAAATTTTGCTAATATATGGTAAGTTAATTATTTTTTTGGTCAAGCGATAGAAAAGTTATTTTGAGTTTAAAAAACTTGAATAAAATTTGAATTTTTTATTTTGAAACCTAATTAAAAAATTGTGTCCATTCCTTTTACATAATTTAATTTTAAAACCCTTATAATTAAAAATCTACTCGTCAAAAATATTCTTATTATTTATTATGATGCTAATGCAATTAAGTTAACTGAAAAAAAATTTGTATGGTTGGTTTTTGCACTGCTAATATTTGTTTTCATCGTTCTTGATTAACAACGAAAATTAAAGCGAGAAAAAGTAATATTATCTTAGACATCGTAAAATGGAATAAATAAAAATAATATTCGTAATAAAAAAGCATTTTCCCCAGGAATTGTTCTCTTCTAGACTAATTAAACGCTGCCGTTGTTAAAGACTTTAATTAAATAACAGAAAAATAGTTTTAATTAGCTGCATTTTACAGAAAAATTAACGACTAGGAATTTTATCGACGTTATTGCCACAGTGTCAAATAAATATTCTATATTTCACACAGATTTTACATGACTTTAAAATTTTATAGATAAGAATTGTTATTTAAAAAATATGTTTACAAAATATTTACCAATAAATGAATAATTTAATTCCTTTTAATAGTTTTTCAAAATTTGACTTTTTATCTAAATAATAACTTTTGTTAAATAATAATAAATTAATACAAAAAAGCAAAATCTAATGATTTCTTAAAGGAAAGAAATTGATTGATAGCAAAAAAAATCCAAAAGAAAGGGAAAACTGGTACTCAGATGATGTAACGAGTTCTATTGATATTAAATATCTTGTAATGTAGTATTATCTCAAGTTTTTAGAAAAAACAGAGTTTTTTCACTTTTGGGCTAGAATTTCTTGAAAGCCGATTCTACTAACGAGGTCTAATTCAAATTAAGCACGTCAAAAACACAGAAATTCAGTAGACATGTGTAATTTAAAAATCATTATATCATTGTGAGTTATTGAGCCTTTTTTTTTGTTTTTTAACCACTTTCCCAAAGTTTCTACATAATGTGATGAAGCAATTCAAATTTGGATTTAATACGTCAAAAATCTTTGGAAAAAGTCCCACCCAGTTTTATCGTTCTCTCTCTTACCTTGCCGGGAATACAAAACAACCAATAAGGAGTCGGTAGGCATTTATATGTTCGTATTTAGTTTAAAGAAGACAGATCTAAACTTGCAATAGTATAACGTAATGGTATTTTTATTTTTATCGGTCAAACGTGTGCTTTTAAACTATCAAGCAGTAAATTCTAAACATTTTAAAAAATTACTATTTATTTCTAGCGACGCACAAGTATCGGATAATATCCGCCATTGGTTAAGAACGCCAACTTTTGACGCACGCCCCTGGGAAGACGAAGAGTTACTGCTGCTCCTGCAGCAAATGTTCATTGACCATGATATTTGTAGCAAATTTGCCATCGACATGACCACGTTGCGAAATTTCCTCTACGAAACCTACAAAAACTACAACGATGTTCCTTTCCACAACTTTAGACACTGCTTTTGTGTCGCACAAATGGTAAGGTTGTATCATATTTTCTGGACATTTTAATATATTCATTTTAAATAAAAATAGAGATAGAATACTTTATTTTGTAACAACAAATTCTTTAAAAGTAGAACTCTTGTGATTTAAGATTCCAAAAAAGAACTCTATTTAGTAAAAATATGTTTAGGTCATTCCATCGTTTCGGGTGTTACATTTGTTCAACCAAAGTCTAAATTTTGATGTATTTTGAAATAACATTTTAGCAAAGTGCCATATTCTCTGCATTTTTAGTTGTTTTATCTAAATTGTCAAATTAATACAGTTTAGCATATATAGCCTATATATAGGATAACGATTTTATAAATCAAAAAGTATGCGTTTCGGGTGTTTCACGATTCTGCCAATATGCCCTGACCATTGTTACAATTATTTGAAATTCAGCAAATTTTCTTAGAGAAACATTCCTTAAAAGTACAGGCCTCCAAAAGTATAATATTTACTAACTATCTACCACATAATCACTGCCACAAATAACGATTTAGCATTTTTTATAAAAATGTTGTGTTAAAAGTACAAAAATTATATGTATACACTTTATAAACACAAAATCGTTGTTTTATTAGACTTTAGGTACTATGTACAAAATAAGTTAGTAACAAATAAATATAAATAGAATGAATTCTCCCTAAACAGCAGCTTCGGGTGCGATTGATAAATCGGCAAAAAGGGTAAAATTGTTATTATGCCAAAAATCGGTAAAAACATAATTATTAACGAAAATCTAAGTATTCGGTATTCAAATACATATCAAATTAGTCTCATGGTCAGATATTAGTTATAGAGGTGGCAAGTTTGATTCCGATTCGTTCAAAAAGAACGAATCATTTAAATGAACCGAATGAATCGAACAAAGTTTGTAAAAGAATCAATTATTTTTTGAATCATTTTTTTTTAAATCACGACTAGTGAACTAAAAAGTGAATCAAACCTTAAAATAAATATAAACTTGGTTACAAGCACTGAATTAAATGCTAGGTTCGGATCACTAGGCTAAAATGTCGGTCTTTTTGAATAACTAGTGATATTTCTAGGGATATTTCAGGTAATTTTTTGTCAAATATCAAAATACTCTTTTGATTCAAAAGTTTCCAATACAACCTAGGTACTTGTATTTTGTTTTTTTTATGTAAGCTGTGCTGTTGTTGCACCGGAAAAGCCATAGGTTAATTTACACGTAAGCAAAATAAAAATCGAATCCATAATTTAATAATACAACCGTTGATTCATTTAACGATACAACCAATACAAGTCATTATTACAAACGATTCAAGAACCAAGTCATTAATTCGGTCGAACCTGAATTGTTCGTTATTTGTTCCTGAACCAGAAAGTGAATCAGTCGCGAACGAATCTTTATGAACGAATCATTTTAAAAGAATGAATTAAAAGAATTGATTCACCAAAAAGAATCGAACTTCCCACCTCTAATTAGTTAGTATTTTAAATCATTACCACCATAACGTTACTTTTACTAAATATTATTAGTAATAATAATTTATTACACTAATCAATCTGTAAGGTATAATAATATTAATAATAATAATATATTTGCTGTAAAAAAAATAATAATACATTTCATTAAATAATAATACAACAAAATGGACTGGAAGGCAGACTAATCTGATTGTTAATCCAGTCCATGAAAAAAAGGTTTATTTAGAAACTAAATTAATGGTAATTAAAGGTTCATTAAACAATTTAAGAAAATATATTAATATAAAAAATATAGGTTTAAACAGAAACAAAAAACAAAAAACAGATTTTTATATAAAAAAAAGCTTTTTACATAAGCTTCGCAAATATTAACTTTTTTAAAGCAGATTTAAAAGATTTATTTTTAGATTTTTAAGATGTTCGGGTAGGTTATTGTTCACAGCATAAACATTATATGAAAAAGATCGTCTAAATATTGCTATTTTGTGAGCAGGTGGGGATATTAGGCCTTTGAATCTAATAAAACAATTACATGATTTTTCGTTTCGGTTGTTACAGTGGCAAAGTAATAATATAAGAAGAAAACACACAAGTAACGTGATAATTATCATTTTTTTCAGAACTGTTACACAATCCTTCAATACTACGATAAATAATCTCAAATCACAACGTGGCAAAACGGTTGACAGATTAGCAGTTTTTTTGTTTGTATTTCTAATAGTTAGTGGTACAATGGTCATTCAGCCAGTTCACTTGAGTACAGATTTTGAAGACTATAATTAACTTAAAAATTACGCTTCTAGGTTTTTTGGTCGCACATTATAATTTGGAATGTTTTCTTTTAAAATTCATCAAATTTAATGCAAAAAGAACATATTTATTTTTTCACCCTTAGTATACGATATATCGTTTGTTATGGAATGACACTTTACAATCTTAAACTTTTTTAGTTATATGCAATCTCGTGGTGTGTGGACCTTCCTTCTAAAATCGGAGATCTGGAGGTCTTAATCCTCCTAACAGCATGCATATGTCACGATCTGGACCATCCAGGATACAACAACATCTATCAAATAAACGCGAAAACCGAACTGGCCATCCGTTATAACGACATATCTCCATTGGAAAATCATCATTGTAGCGTGGCGTTTAGGATTTTGGAAAATGACGACTGCAATATTTTTAAAAGTTTCAGTAGCGAAGAATTTAAGCAGATCAGAGAAGGTATTATAAGATGCATTTTGGCCACAGATATGGCCAGGCACAACGAAATACTCACCAATTTTAAGGAGATTTGTCCTACATTTAACTACAACGACAAGGCTCATGTCAATTTGGTAAGATATAAATTATTTTATTTTAAAATTAAAGATACAGAGGGGGTCACTATATCGAAAGTTTAGTTAAAAAGTTAAAGTTTTGATCAAAAATAATTAATATTACAAAAGTATATATTAGGGTGATTTTTTTTTACTTCCGACACTGAAAATTTGGTTCTTAGGCACTTTTACTAAGTGCTTACCAAATTTGAGCTCTTAATATTGATAGGAAGATCTTCCTCATCACAGTTTTCCATTTTTTATTTAGTCCCTTATAAAAGGACCATATTTTATTATTAATTAAGCGTTTAATCCAATCTTTATACATATTTTTGTAGGAAATTGAATGCTCTACAAAAAAGGACAAGCGTGTTTAAGCGATTTTTCTAACTATTTAAAAGATATTCAAAATCAAAATTTGAAGAATTTATGAAAAAATTTTTTTTTTTATAATTTTGTAAATTATTTAAAAATAATTATTGTTAAATAAGTATGATATATTTTTGTACGAAATTTAAAACTCTACAAAACAGGTTAAATGTGTTTAATTGATTATTCTAACCGTTGAGAAGATATTCGTATCCGAATCCCAATGCGTACTGATACAAATATGTTCTCAACAGTTAGAGTAATCAATTAAACACATGGGACCTTTTTTGTAGAGCGTTAAATTTCCTACAAAAATATGTCATATTCATTTGACAATAAATATTTTTCAATGAGTTACAAAATTATTAAAAAGCTATTTTTTTATAAATTCTTTAAACTTTGATCTTGAATATTTTTTAAATGGTTAGAGTAGGTACTCTCTTAAATATATTAGTCCTTTTTTGTAGATCATTTAATTACACTAGTTTACAAAATCGAAAAAAATTTCTGCCCACCTTATCCCATTATAATTTTTTCATGTATTTTGACCCACCAAACACGAAAATCACAACAAAATTTTTATAGAAGCGTTTTTGAAATATGAATTTTCAATTGTTTTTTTTTTAATTTACGGAGGTGTTTTGACGTTTTTGAATATAGCTTGAAATCTTTGATATCCTATAAGTATTTTGAAGCTAGCGATTTTAATGACTTAAAAAATTCGTTTTTATGGCAAAAATTGAGGTCGAAAATTTACATATCGTCCTGGGAAAGGTTTAAATCAAACAGATAACTTCACTTTGGATTTTTTTCGTGAAGCTGACATTTTTACAAAAAAACAAAAACAAGCTACTGTTGCTAAAAATACATGAAAAAATGGAGAAGTTATGAATTTTTTAGTGGAAGACCAAAATTCAGCTTTTTGACGATTTTTATTTTATTTTTTTTCTTTTATTTCGTAATATGTTTATTTTTTAATGAAAACCTAATTAAAGTGCATGATTGGAATTTTTTAAGTTTTTTACGTACTTTTTTTACCGAAAACATTATATAAAATTTAAATTTGACATGACTCCGCAAACGTGAATTCTTTTGTTTCTCGTGTTGGCATAGTGACATTTTACTGCTATTTTTTGATATTTTAACAGAGTATTTTTATCATGGTTTTATTTAGTTAATAAAAAGTGTAAAATAAGTAAAAGAAGTAGAGAGTTCTCTGGGCGACGTTAGTGATGAACACGGAGAACCAGAATATGAAGGCTATGGCGGTATCACGGCTTCTGGGATGCAGCCATGATGGGTGATTACATTTGGTCCCTTATACGAGAAACGGAATACGAAAACAACAAAAAACAAAAAAGGAGCCAGATTTTTTTTTAAGCCTATAGGCTTATTACAACAAAATAAAACTTCAATATTTATTGTTTAATATTCAATATTTAATTTAATTTCAATATTTAATGTTTAAAATAAAAATCAATGTTCAATATTATATAACTCAATAAAATGAAAAAAAACGTAAAAATTCTCGAAAAAACTGAATTTTGGTCTTTCACTGAAAAATTCTTGCCATTTATCCATGGATTTTTATCAACAGCAGCTTATTTTTTTTCCTTTAAGTATAATCTAACTGGACTTATCTTTTCGATTTCTATCTTTCCCAGAAATATATGTAAATTATTGACCTCGATTTTTGTAAAAAAAAATGGACTTTTTCAACCTAATAAAATCGCCAGTAACGAACTACTGAGCAGACACCAAAACTATACAAGAGAAAGTTGTAGATGGCTCAATTGATTTAAGAAAATTAAAAAAAAAACAATTGAATCATATCTCAAAAACGCTTCCATGAAAAAAATTTTAAGTGTGATTTTCGCGTTTAGTGAGCCAAACTACACAAGAAAATAATAGTGAGACATGGTGGGCAAAATGGCTGTAAACTAGTGTTACCTATCTATAAAAATATGTATAAAGATTTAATTTAACGATTGAATATTAATGAAATATGGTCTTCCTATTATTATTATTAAGAGCTCATATTTGGTGAGCACTTTCTAGAGGTGCCTACGAACCAAATTTTCAGTGTCGGAAGTAAATAAATATTCGATTTTTTTAAATTCACCTAGTAAATAACGTAACTTAAAAATATGTTATAGCTCTGCATGGTGTTAATAAAAGTATCCGACATATCAAACGAAGCCCGTCCAATGGACGTGGCGGAACCGTGGTTGGATAAACTGCTGCAAGAATTCTTTAAACAAAGCGACGCAGAGAAACTCGAAGGCCTTCCCGTCACACCTTTCATGGACCGCGAAAAAATAACCAAACCGTCGTCGCAATGCAGCTTCATTGGGTTTGTGTTGCTGCCACTTTTCGAAGCTCTGGGCGAATTGCTCACGGAGCTGCAAGATTTGATTATACAGCCCGTTAGAGATGCCTTGGAGTATTATAGGAAGCTTAACGAGGCTACAAGGGAGGAGAGGTTGCACAGAAAAAGTATCGTGGCTGAGCTGGAGCACCAGAATCAATCCAATACACCCAACAATCAAAGCCCTGATGGTGTTTCCAAATCTAACTCTAACAGTAGTGTTAAGATGAAGAAGAGTCTTAGTTTTCAGCAAACTAGATCAAGGTAAGCATTATTTAATCAATTACATCGATGTTAATTTAATTTTGATTTGTTTTCAGGTCTAGATCGACCGAGGAAGACACCGAAGCCAGCCAAGAAAGCGTTCATGGGGAAGAACAGCAAAGCTTGGAAGACGTGGCCGAGGATCCGGAAAGCGGGGATTCCGAGACGGCCACTGAGGTGGAAGTATCGGAGAAAGCCTTGAAATTCAAGATCTCAACGGAATGCAGCGTAAGCAGCACTGGCAGGAAAAGCTATCCGGGTTCCAGGAAGGGCAGCAGAGAGAGAGGGCAACACTTGAGCAGCTCCGAATTGGCCAGGATGATGCAGAGAGGGAAGCTAAAAACTACGGCTTTTAGTTTCGATCAACACTGCTTGATCGGAAATAAAAGACTCTCGTTTGATACCCCCGAGTTTTTGGACGAATACGCTTTAACGATACGGGAAAAGCTCGAGGAAGGTCAAGGTAAAGTCTCCCACAAAACAAACAAAGGCGAATGCGTTACAGCCAAAGAAACAATAACCTTGAACAAATGCAACTCTGATCATGCAAAAGTGCCATCTGGTGGAGGCGGCACGGACGAAATGAAGAGCATCTTGAAATTCAGTGACAATAAAATGTTCACGAATGCGGAAAAACTAAAAATAAACAACAGCAGTCAGGTGTCCAGTGAGAACAGTGCGAACAATCAGAATAGTATTCAGAACAATTGTGTGGAACAATTAAACGCGAAGATAGCCAGTGATAGTGATAACAGTATTTTGGACGAAAAAGTGCAAATGGAGACGGAGATTAGTGAAAGCAAAAACAATCGCTCGTTTATTTCGAGATTAAGGCAGTTTACTGACAGGTTCGGGATCTCCACCGAGAAAGATGGCAAAGTGAAAAAGAGCAACTCGTTGAAGAACAACAATTGCGCACAAAGTACACCAAACAAAGGTAAGCAGTTGAAAATATTACCATCCTCACTTCAAAACAAAGCCATTTCTTAAAAAATCGACTTAGCTTAGTTAAGTTTAGTTTAATTGTTAGGATTATCTATCTATAGATTATATTTCATTTAAAAAATACTGAATTTCAATGAAGTTAGGACATGATGTCGAAAATCAGTGTAAAACCACTTCCATTACAAATACTAAAAACACATATTTTTTTCTTTCAATTCTTCGTTAATAATTACTTTGAAAATCTTGATAGCGTGACGTCACGATACTATTGATATACGCTCAAGAAGGTGGTCTTCGATAGCATTGTGTGAATTCAAGAATTGTCAACACTACATTTAAAGCTGTGTTTCGCGTTGAAAGTAAAAACTAAAAAACCTTGGTTTAGTACTCGATTTCGATTTATTAGGCCTTATCATTGATTAAAAAACTCACGCTTACATGCTTGTATAGTTACTAGGGTGCTTCAACAAATAAAATTTTTTTTATCGCTCTTACCCTCTCAAACTTTTCTATTTAATATAAAAAAAATCCTCACCAAATATGGGCGTTCCAGCTCAACTCTAAGAGGTCGCTGTTTTTATTTTAGTTTCCCATTTAATTAACATTGGAAAAAATAATTTTATCTTTGGAATTTTATACCTCTGTATCAAAGAAACTTATGGCAATGATCATTGCAGTTTCTTATATAAAATGTAACGCTCTACAAAAAAAGGTCTATTATTATTTTTCGATAAATTGATTTCTTCTAGAGTTATTCGAGGTCAAAGTTTGATTAACATCAAATTTTCTGGTTTTTTTAATTTTATGGTACAATTAGCAGACGGGAGGTGAAAGGGGGCAAAATGGGGTACCCAAAAAATTTCGTAATTTTTTTTTTAGATTGTTTTTTTCGGTTTCTAAATTAAAAATTAAATTTTATTTTTTGAAGCACCGTAAACACGGGTGGCTTTGGCTCACTTTCAAACTTCAGCTTAAAATGTTTGTGGTTTTAACAATCATAAACATTAAATTTTGTATACCAAAATTTGAGTCTTGAGTTGCTCTTTCATAATAACTATGTTATAATATTACATAGGGCTGAGTTTCAAAAATAAACATTAAAAACTGGGTGTGCAAAGTTACCCCCTGGTTGCGGGTTACTTTGTCTCACAGTGTTTTTTCAGTATAAAATGGATGTAATATTATATTTTATTTTTATTAGACACGTGTTAGCAGCGACATATATTTATTGCAAGAGATTACCAATAAAAAAAATAAAAAATCGACCTGTAGTTAACCAAGGATCATCATTCCAATGGATTGCGCATAATATAGAAATTGTAACGCGTGTATTTCTAAGAGTTTTGCACTGATACGATATATACAATTTTAAAGTGTAATAAATTCCATTTCTTTCTTTAAAACACTGATTTTCCTGTAATATAAACTCAATAGAATCGCTCAATTGACAGGTTTGGACCAACAAATTATAAATGTTCATTTTATCGAGCGCGAAAAGATTTTTCATAAATGGGTTAAAGTCACCCGCGGGGTGCAAAGTCACCCGTATTTACGGCACCCTAATAGTTACGTTAGTGTGTGTATTTTATCTAAGTGATAATGGTGTATTATTGCCTTTTTAATTGTAAATAAAATTCAAAAACTAAATCGTTGGATTTTCATGTTTCGTTTAAAAAACACTGTAAAGTACAGTTGTATTCATTAAAAAAGCGTACAAGAATTAGAATGAGAGAAAACTGTCAACATTATTGCGTAAAACCGGCTTTCCACTGACTTAAGTCACTATAACTGACAGTAGAAAATAAAAATGCCTCGTCAGTTAAAAAGGCTTAAATAGTATCAAGAATCGAAGAAAAATGGTCAATTCGTACCGTGGTATAATAGAAATAAAAAATCTATTTAAAAAATTAAGCAACGCTGGGAAAAGGAAGATTTACTAAACCAAAAAGTTGGTTCAGGTCGTCTCAAAATGTCCACCCCTGAACAGGATGCTGCTTTTTTGGGATATCTGAGGATTTATGGGAAACTATACAACTATACTACTATACCTACTATACTGCTGGGAAGATATTAATCCAAATATTGTATTAAATTTAATTCAGTTCATCTGAAAAAAAAACACGGATGCATGACTAAATATTAAATTTTTTTTAATGTTTTTTTTTCAGTTCTAAAAGGTAATAATTTTTGTAATATTATTTAATTAACCTACGACGTCAATGCTCATTATAACCTATAGTAATTCTGTGGGTAAAAGGCATATATGCCCTTATAAGGGGGTAAGTCAAAAAAAGCAATTTTTCGGTCGAGACTTAAATGTGTTCGCTTTAATTTAGGAAATACATTTATGGTTCGCGGGTATACCCTTTTGCCAGCACATATCATACGCTAGCAAAAGGGTATACTCGCTTACCATAAATATATTTCCTGAATTAATGCGAACACGTTTAAGTCTATACCGAAAAATGGCCTTATTTGACTTATCCCCTTATGCCTTTTACCCACAGAATTATTTTAATGACTTATGTCAGTGATAAGCCAGTTTTAAGCAATAATATTATTTTGACAGTTTTCTCTCATTCTAATTCTTGTACGCTTTTTTATTGAATACAACTGTACATTACCAAGTTGTAAAAACTTATTTTAAGAACTTTTTTTTTAAATATACCTATTTCATCAATAGTATCCAGGGTCAATAAAGCAATGAGAATTATGTTTTAGGTAAAAAGAAAGCAATCGGGTGTTGCGAAGAGTCCGACGTGATAAAAAACACAAAAGCTAGTACCCTCCCCAAAACCAAATCCTCAGGCATGAACAAAAAAGGATGGACATTTTTTGTTTTAGGAAGAGACAAACAAAGACTTCAGGGGTGGTCTTCGGACGCAGAAGTTGCGAAAAACGACTCCGACAATCAATCTCTACCTTCCACGTCGCAGCTGCAGAGCGAAAAGACCACGCCGCAATCGTCTCCGAGAAAAAACGACCAACTCAATCAAATATTCAAGGATCAAAGCACGCTGATCGACAGCAAGCTGAAAGAACTGAAATCGGAGGAGGCCATTGTCATTTCTTCAGAAAATAATCACGGTCTAATATGACATGAGGTCAATCCTCCGGAAAGGGAGTGTTTTAGTAGATACATATTCTGTCGGTGTTGTAAATATAAAAATAAAGCTGCTGCTGCTGAAAATGTTTGAGGATTTATTTATTACGTATTTATTTCTTAATGTAAATGGGTTTTCTTAAGATCATCAAATGAGATTAACCGCACCATTGCTAATTTCGCGAAAAAAGCCAAATACTTTTAGAAACACGTTTTTGACTTTTATCCGAAAATTTATTATAAAAGCGATTTGAAAAGTTGCTCCTAATATAATGTTTCGGTAAAAAAAATTCTTAAAGTATAAATAAATAGGTAACAGCTGACTCCATATTCAGAAGTTTTTATTTATTTAGTTTTTTAAACAACTTTTGATGTTCTAAAATCAATATTTAAAAAGGCTACTGTTATGTGTATAATTGTTTATGTAGATCATTTTATCTAGTTTAAAAACATAAATGTTAAAAATTGTAATACAAATGTATAAAATTTAGAGGTGCGATTGATCTATTGCAGAGAAAGCATAAAATCTAAAGATAAACATTGCTAAAGAAGCCAAAAATATGTGTATACGTACATGAAAATTAAAGAAATTGTTGCTATAGAATGCTGTGGTCATAAAATTTATGATCAGAAATTATATTTCTATTATTTATTAGTAGCTCAATATTTTGTGATTAGTATCTTAATACTTTTTTCACGAAAATTATTTTTTTAGCCAATCTGGTACATTAAATTCCTTAGAGGGATGGTGATTGTTAAAAAATTGCAAATTTCACAAGAAAACTTGAGAAATTAGTAAATGAGCTTTATATACATATAGAGTAGTTAAGTAGCCTATTATTGGTATTATTTAGACTACTTTTGTCAAACCGAATATTTGTAAATTTATTTAGTATAAAGACTTGAAAACACTTGCTCTTAAACCAGACAAAGTAACAAAAAACATATTCTAGAGATATGAAAAAGATACTCAATTGCATTTATGTTATTTTGTGAAATTTGTATTTTATAAATATAAATAGACAAGTTTGTTTATTTTATGTCATGGGATATTATTTAATAAGAAATTTAAACAGGGTACTAACAAAAAAATGTTGAAAGAATTTACATCATCATACAACAAGTTTTATATTTTTCTTAGCACCCTGTATATGTGATTCTAGTCTTTTACTATTGTTATTTAGTAAATATTATTTTATATGTGTGCATTTATAGATTTAAGATAAATAGATTAATATTTTCATACCAAATAACTTACTTCTATACCTACCCTGGGCTATATTAAATTTAAATTAAGTTTGAATCATAAAATTCTCACATTTCTAATTCTTCCCCTTTAAAAACATATCAGATGCATCTAAAAAATTCAAACCTACAAACTTATATGTAATAAGAAACTGTACATTTTTCTAAGCAACATCCTAAATGGTGCTAGAATAAAATTTACAATGTTTTATATATTATAACTTTTAGTTAATGCAATTTAAAAAATATTGTAAAATTGAGAACAAACCTTGTAATTAAAGAGTAAAGTACTTTCAAAATAAAATTGTTGCCATAATATGCCAAAGAATTCGTTTAAATCTCTGCTGGGCAGAAAATTTATTCTTTGGATCTTATCGCGATGTTGCAGTATTTCGTACTGTTATTTATTTATAAATGAAGGACCATTTTCGCCTATACCCTTAAAAGGTCAATAATTATTTTTTAAAAACCTAATTGTGAAAAATCTTCTAAGGGTTTAAAAAAATTAATTATTGCTTTTATTCTTATTCCTATTCTTATCTATAAAGAAATCTATATTCTTCCTATTTTATAGATAAGTCATCTGACTTAAAATATTTACTACATTAATATATATATACTTATATATATTTAGATAAAAATGCAGTAAATATTTTACTGTTAGTATAATGTCCATATGCCAATGTATAGTAAAAATATTTAATAAATGTTTATGAATCGAATATTTTATTTTATTTAAAAATCCTATAAAAATGGTGTTTTATAGTTGTTTTGGTTTCTTAAAATAATGTTTTTATTTTTTTATCAATATGTAAATAATAATAAATTTTTTAAAGTTGTAAACAAAATCCTATAAAAAATGGTGTTTCATAGTTGTTTTGGTTTCTTAAAATAATGTTTTTATTTTTTTATCAAAATGTAAATAAAAATACATTTTTTAAAGTTGTCAACAAAATTTTAAACAAATTGAGATAAAATAAAATTCTTTAACTTAAGTATTTAGTTTTTCTCAAGACCTCAAACATAGCAGTGGAAATGATACTGTCTTTAGTTGTATTAGTTACCAGTTTTGGTTTAGCCCTTTGGGCGTACTATAGAAAAAAACACAGTTACTGGAAGCAAAAAGGAGTGCCCCATGAAACCCCAAAACCTATAGTTGGAAACATCGGGGGTGCCTTAACATTCAAAGAATCCATCGGGCAATTTTTATACAGAGTGTACAAGGGTTCCAATGGACCATACCATGGTTTTTACGTCATGGGCGAACCATCCATACTTATAAATGATCCTGATATAATTAAACACATTTTAATTAAAGATTTTAATTTTTTTATGAATAGGACCATTGTTTCTGACCCTAAAGGAGATCCTATAAGTGCTCATATTTTGTTTAACTCTAAAACACCATTGTGGAATAATTTGAGGAGGAAAGTCTCGCCGATATTTTCTTCAGGTATTTGTTCAATGTTAATAAAGTTTTCTATGCTTTAAAAGTTTGTTTTAGTTAAAAAAGGTAAAATTAGTTAAAATTATCTTTCAATTTATCATCAAATTTTATTAAACAAACTAAATTGTAATATAAAACAATATTAAAATACATACTTTTTTATTTTAATTATTTTATTACATTTAAATCGCTAAAAAGACTTTTTATAAAAATAAAAAAATAATGAAAAACATTCTGTATACAGAGATATATCTCTTTAAAACAAAGAAACGAATATTTTGTTTTATCAATAGAATCCTCTAGTATCAAAACCCCTTAAATTCGTTTTAATAAAAATGAGATACATGCATTCAAATATTGCTACGGTAAGAATCCTACCTCTCAATGTGTGCATAGAAATGCGAGGGGTAAGCACTGATTAAGCAAGTTTTCCTTATTGATAACGACTGAAAAAATCAACACAACGTCCACTAACATTGAACGTTGGTCTCTAAGATTTTAAAGTGGTTTATTCCTCGTATAAATGGTGGCAAAAGCCAACAAATATTTATAAAAAAAATGAATATATACATTTCGAGGCTTTGTGCACAAATTGATAGGTAGTATTTTTTTAATGCATGGTTCTCATTTTTCATCAAAACGGTTTTAAGGGATTTTGATAATAGGGGATTCAATATTAGTTTTTTCTGGTGTCTTCTTAGTCATCACGTGTTAAAGTTGCGGTAAAACTCTATATATATTGTTTTTTCCAGGAAAACTAAAAAGAATGTATTCCTTTCTATACGAAAGTTCAAGTGACCTTGTTAATTATTTAGAAAAAACCGATAAAATGATAGAATCGAGGGAAGTTTGTTCTCTATACACTACAGACATAATTTCTTCGACATGTTTCGGTATAAACGCAAAATGCTTCGAAAATCCAAACGCCGAATTCCGAAAAATATCCAGAAAATTGTTTGAATGGAACTCGCCAAGGGTGTCTGTGCCAATGCTTTTCTACTTTTTGACGCCGACGATTGTCAAACTTTTTAAAATAGGGTTATTCAGAACTGAATGTGTCAGATTTTTTAAAAGAGTTTTCTTTAGGGCTATAGTGGAAAGAGAACAAAGTAAAGGTTTTAGAAATGATTTTCTTGATCTCTTGATACAGATTAAAAATCAAGATGCCGAGTCAAACAAAAATGTTAAGAATGGTAAATATATCTTTTTTTACTTACTCAAACGTAATTTTATCTAAGTACTAAGAAATTTATACTAATAATATACGCTAAAGAAGTATCGGGTTTTCGCAACGCGCGCGCCATTGGTGGACTTCGAATGCATTGCGTGAATTTAAGAATTGTCAACAATAAATTAAAAGCACCGATTATACATCATTTTTAAATAAATAGGTAGTTTTTTTACAAAAAGACAGAAGTCTTACTCGAAACATTTTGTTCAATTGCACAGCTAAATTGCGCACGTTATTTGTGTTTTACGTTGCAAGGAAAAAACTTTTTTAGTACCTACTCGATTTCGATTAATTATTCCTTATATCATTGATTAAGAAACAACGCTTAAATGCTTATATAGTTACGTTAGGGTGTGTATTTTATCAAAGGGATCATGGTGAATTATTGTGTTTTTAATTGTAAATAAAATTTAAGAACTAAATCGTTGCATTTTCATGTTTTGCCAAAGGATCCAATTTGATAATATCACTACTAAAATGTGTATTTATTGTGTCTAATAGGTACAATTTATATTTACAGAGACTGTATCCCTGATAGCACAGTTTATTCTAAGAATGTTTTTTAAACCTTCCAGTGAGAATATTCTTAGGATCATGCTATATTACTTCTAGTCATGTTCTAAGAATGTTTTTTAAACCTTCCAGTGAGAATATTCTTAGGATCATGCTATATATCTTTTAGGCATGTTCTAAGAATGTTTTTTAAACATTCCAGTGAGAATATTCTTAGGATCATCTTATATTTCTTCTAAAGAACATGCTTAAAAGAAATATAGCATAATCCTAAGAATATTCTCACTGGCCTCTAGGCAGGTTCTTAGAAGGTTCAAAGTTTAGTTGTAAAAATTAATCCACTCTAAACATATGCTTAGAATGTTGAGAAAGTAATTAGTATTAAATACTAAGTAAAAAACAACCCAAAATATTTTTTATAGTTATTTATCAAATTAAAACAATATTAGATAACAAAAATACTTTTACTATAGGTATTTTATTTTATGTTAAAAATAAATATTTATTAATTTGTATACCGATTTTTTATTTCTGAATTAACATTTTTATGTATAATAATCCTACTATCTTCAACTTCAATCTAATCTGACTTATCCCACAAAATTTTTCAATTTTACTTTTTATGAAATAATGTCATACAACTTATGGTTCAGAGGTCAAATTGTTTATTTAATATTTTTAAATAAATATATATTAATATATCGCAAATTTTTTTAAGGGGACGACAAATACATTTCACTTTCATATTATGACAGTGAGGCGTATTTGTCGCCTCCTGAAGAATTTTACGAATGTAGAATCCAACATATTAGAACGTGGGTATCTGACATATTTGGAAATATTCTCAAAAGCTTCCTAGAAGATAATAAGAAACCTTCTGAGAACATTCCAAAAACGTATTCTTAAAATGTTCTTAGATTGCTTTTTAGGAAGGTTTTAAGAAGCTTCTAAGAATCTACTTGCATCATTAAAAGGGTATCTATTGAATGTTTTAAAAGTCCCTAAGAACATTCTTAGCAATAAGGGAAGGTTCTAAGAATATTCCATTATTCCGAGTCTTATCTTCTTAGAAGATTCTTAGAATCAAATTTTGCTATCAGGGATGCAATTTATTTCTTCATTCAGAGAAACACTGTTTATTGGAAAACCGGTAAAAACTCAACCCAGGATTTCCTCTCTAAATACACCCAACAACACAACAAATCGATCCAGGGTTTTTTTTCGATATTTTTTTAACATTTTCCGGCTTTATTCTCAAAAACACTCGTTTGTAACCTAAGCGTTTGACAGCTGATTATTAAAAGTTCTCCTTCGGATGGGACTTTAAGTCCGCGGTCCGTTCCTACCCCTTCTGGGACTTCTTAGGAAGTAAGGGTGGAACTAAAAGAGCACTTTTGTATATAAACTTTTTTTTTACGATAACAGCCGAGTGGTGGCGCTACTAGCGATACTTCTTTAGCGTATAAATATGACAAGCTTGTAAATGTATATTTTAGTTAACAGAAATTTACTTAATAAAAGTTTTTCATAATAACACATACACAAAAAAAATTATTTATAAAATCATCGTTTTGTAAAAAAATTACAATGAGATTTTGCCATGGAAAATTAATTTGTTTTACTGGCATTTTATTTCTGGCAACTTGGGTAATACACCAAGATTTATAAGCAATTATTGTTGGTCGGTGCTGTTTAAATGTCTTTTTTAATATTGTTTAAATAAAATAACAATTCATGGTGAAAATTAATAAAAGTTTCTTTAATCATCAAGACTTGACCTGATATTGATAAACTGCTAATTGGTGACCCGAACCAAAAATATGTAAAATAAGAAAAACATAATATATTTAATATCAGAGACCTGAAATTTATAAACAATTATATATTAATATACAGGGTGCACCAATGGGTATTTAAAATACAACAGTTGCGTAATAACAAGGCTATTAAAATGAAATTTGAAAATTGGAAAATAATCCAGCGGTTCTCAAAATATTTGAAAAAAACTAAAAACCCTTTAAAATCAAAAATCGTTGACATTGTTATTCCTTGTAATTTATTCGCTACTTTATTTTGAGTTTGATACATCGTTGGATTCCTTGATTCTTTAATTTAATCGACCTTGTAGCCCTTTAAATAAAAAAGACATGGAAGTGTAGTATTTATTGTATTTCATAATTTTAGAGGGAGATGTTATTTTGGCACAGGCAATACAATTTTTTGCAGCAGGTTTCGAAACTACAAGTGGATTAATGGTATTTTTCTTGTACGAATTGGCGAAAAATCCAGATGTACAAGAAAAGTTGCGTCAAGAAGTTTTAGAAGTTTTAGAAAAGAAAGGAGAAATCATGTATGATTCTTTTAAGGACATGAAATATCTCGACATGTGTACTTCTGGTAGGTACTAAAATATATATATATATATATTAGAGTGCTTCAAAAAAAAATTTATTTGTTTTTTTGCTCTTACCCTCTCAAATGTTTCTATTTAATATAAAAAAATCCTCACCAAATATGGGCGTTCCAGCTCAACTCTAAGAGGTCGCTGTTTTTATTTTAGTTTCCCATTTAATTAACATGGGAAAAAATAATTTTATGTTTGGAATTTTATACCTCTGAATAAAAGTAAATTATGGCAATGATAATTGCAGTTTCTTATATAAAATGTAACGCTCTACAAAAAAGGTCTTTATCGATAAATTGATTTCTTCTAGAGTTATTCGAGGTCAAAGTTTGGTCAAACTGTAATGATCATTTCTAATTGATTTGATACAGAGGTATAAAATTCCAAACATAAAATTATTTTTTTTCATGTTAATTAAATGGAAAACTAAAATAAAAACAGCGACCTCTTAGAGTTGAGCTGGAATACTGTGTTTTAAATTAAAATTTTTACTAATTCTTGGGACAAACTTATTGAAAATTATTTTTTAATGTTATAGAAGCTTTAAGAAAGTACCCGATACTTCCTTTCTTGGACAGGCGTTGTTCAGAAAATTATAAACTGCCAGGAAGTGAGTTGGTATTGGAAAAAAATACGCCAGTTTATATTTCAATTTTGGGATTACAATACGATGAAACGTATTATCCGGAACCTGATAAATTTATACCGGAAAGATGGATGGATAGCCAAATTAATAAATTTTCTTTTCTTGCATTTGGAGAAGGACCGAGGAATTGCATTGGTAATTTCTACTTGGTTTATTAATTAATTAATTTTTTACGATTTTGTCGCCTCTTAAAATTTTGTCGTTTCTAAAACTTTGGTTGCTTTCCAAATTATGCACAGGCTTCAAAGTCTTAATTAAATACTAACAAATTTATGATACTTTTAGTTTTACTATTTTTAAATTTTTTGTGAAAAATTATAATATGTAATTAAAAAATAGAATGAGAAAAATGAGAGTAAAAAACGATTAAAACTCGTCTTATTAAAAATAGCTTAAATATAAAGAAGCACATACAACTGCTCTATTTTTCGACAATTTGACATCATCATTTTAGTTAAACCACTTGGTTTTTTAAAGTAAGTTTTTATATTAAATTAATATTTTAGGAGCCAGATTTGGTGTTTTAGCCGTTAAAATAGGAATATCAAGAATATTATCCAGCTTGAAAGTTGAGCTATGCGAAAAAAGCCCAAAGAACATAGGAATTCAGGATTTTGATTCTAGGGCTTTACTTTTGGCACCAATAGATGGTATTTATTTAAAGTACAGTAAAATTAATAAGTAGACTTATATATACATAAGTATACTTAAGTATATATACTTATTATAATTATAATTATATGTTACAAATATTTATAAAATTTGCGTGTTTAAAAATCTGTGGAAATTTTATATATAATTAAACTAAATACAGAAATTGGATAATTACAGGTGTATTGTTTTTTAACCTTGTTTTTTGTTATAAGTGCCCATGGGCATATGATTTTTTTAAATTAAAAATCACATACGAATTAACGGGTAAGGAAAACAATCACAATGATAGTCATGCGCAACTCAGATAAATTAATAAATATTATTGAAGACATTATTTATAGATTGAAATGGAAACATACTACTGCACTTTATATTATTGGCGTGTTACAGCGCAGGAGTAACAATGATAACATTAATTGACTATTATAAATACAATTTTTTTAAGTTTTGTATTATTTAACAATTGTTTTAGATTTTGAAGTTAATTGGGTATTCAAATAAAAAATGGTATTAGTAGTAACCTACCTGTATATAGATTATAATCTTTTCGCATAAAATAATTATGTTTGGTACCTACCAAAAGTAGATATTATTTACATATTATATTATATCGATGACTTTCTGCCAAAGTATCGTAAGCAACATAACTCAAATTTTGGGAATTGAAAACATTTTTTATTTTAAAATCTGTTTTAACCCATATTTATCGTATAGGTTTTATAACAAGTAAATAGCTATAATTATAAGCTATTTACTAGTTATAAAACCTTTAGGCTATATTTAATTTGAAACAGTCTTTAAGACAAAAAATGTTTTCGATTCTAGAAATTTTAGTTATGTTGCTTACGATACTTTGGCAGAAAGTCATCGATATATATACATATATTAAGGATATTTTACTATCATTAAGTTAATAAGAATACATTTTAATTCAATAAAGGGTGTCCCAAAAACGCCGGACAAATAACCCCTGCAATTTTGCGAATTCCAAAAAATGGTGAAGGGAATTTTAACTTAGTTCTTCGCAAGGAATCGACTGGTGTTTTTTAACTAATAAAAAAAAATATTTTACCTTGAGCCTCAATTGATGAACCAAGTTACCTATACTTATTATAATTATATGACAGGCCCGTAATTGAGATTTTGTTTTGGGCCTGTTTTGAACGTTCCACAGAAAGGACTACTTAAAAATGTAATCAAAACCATTTAAGTGAGAACAACTTTGACTTTGCAAATTGAAAAAAATACCATTGTATTTTATTCAATCCAATGCTGTGCAAATAATAATCTTTCCACCAAAAAAAATCTTGCGTTGATACGTTGGGAATAATAATATACGTAGCAGTGATATTACTATAATAGGAACATAATCGCACATAATTTCATTAACAAAACATCGAGTGCTTTAATTTAAACTTGTAGTTGGCAAGGTTGGCAGTTAACATACTGGGGGTGTATAGTGAATTTACAACAAATTAATGTGTTAAAGATAAATATAAAAAGGTAAGTCTCTTTTCTTTTAAAATGAAATTTTAATTTTAAACCCAGAAATTATTTTTTTTAAATTGTCATCTTAAATAAGTATACTATTTGTTGGTTTATTAATTTCTGTAATGTAGTATGCCTAATATTTGGTACCAATACGTATGTGCTTTGTTTTAGATGATTTTTTCTGCATATTGGTATGTTGACACGCTTATTTTATTGGTGACTGCAGTTTACCTCCTCTATAAATACACGAGCAGAAAATATGATTATTGGGCAAAAAGAGGCTTTACCTTTATACCCCCAAAACCCTTTTTTGGCAATTTCTACGAAATCTCAACATTTCAAATAACAATAGGCGAATATTTAGCTAAACTTTACAACAGCACTAAAGAACCGTTTTTTGGTATTTACGTTTTTAATAAACCTTGTTTGGTTATAAGAGATCCGGAATTGGTGAAGCACGTTCTGGTAAAGGATTTCAATTATTTCGGGGACAGAACCCTTTCTGACTGCGAACATGATCAAATAGCGCATAATATGCTGTTTTTGTTGAAAAATCCAGAATGGAAAACCATGCGAAAACTCTTGACACCAGTATTTACAAGCGGAAAACTTAAGGCAATGTTTCCTATGATTGAAGAAATAGGTACTGAAATGAATAAATACATCAGCAAACGTTTGGATATGGATGTGGTGGAATCAAAGGAAATTTGTGCCAAATATTCCACAGATGTCATTGCAAAATGTGCATTTGCAATAAACGCACATTCATTTGATAATGAAAATGCCGATTTTCGAAGAGTAGGAAAAACAGCTTTTGATTTTACATGGTCCAATGCAATACAACAGACATCCTTCTTCTTTTTACCAGAACTTGTTAAACTATTTAAGTTTAAATTCATAAACTCTTATGCCACTGACTTTTTGAGGGAAGTTTTTTGGAAGGCTTTGTTGCATAGGGAAGCCACGAACTTGAAAGGAAACGATTTAATTGATCGTTTGGTTGACTTAAGAAAAGATAAGGAGTTTGTAAAAGCTGTTAAGTTTGGTAAGTTTAAAAATAATGTGTATTATTATTAATTTCAGTAGTTTATTTGATAAAACAATATGTTCATGTGCGATTTTTTTATCATAGCGACCTTAGGTAAGGAAATTTCCTTCACACGTGAATAGGAAATTAAAAATCAATTAATAAAAGGTTAAATACCAGACGGAGGCAAATTTTTAGACCAGACATATACGAAAATTATAAACAAAAATTAAAACTGTCTTTTAGGCAAAATTATCCAAATTTTTGGTAAAGAAATGTTTGATTGAAATCGCAAAGCCATTAAACAAAACCATTATTTTCATTATTAAATAGTTTGTATTTTGTTATGATTTTATACAAGATGTTCCTAAACTTAGTGGCAAAAATTTAGGAGCAGATTAAGCAAGTCAAAATAAGACGAAAATCTAAATAAATATTTTTCATAATTACGTATGTTTAAAAGATACAAGTTGATAAAGTGTTACTTATCATATCAATTTTTTAATAAATCTTCTACTGTGGTAGACTTGGAAAGGTGCACCTTTCCAAGTCTATCATGATATTTTGCGAACAGTCACTTACTACCAAAACACATATTCACACATAATTACAATTGTTTGAGTGAATACAGTGTCGTAGAAACTGGGGTTGCTTAAGCTTATTGTCCCATACAAACTTTGTATTAGGTTTTTATACCATTTGATGCAATTTTTCGATTACTCAGTTCGGCTACTATTAAAAAGGTGTACCTCTCAAACTTTTATAAAATTAACCGTTTCCGAGATATTCGAGATTACAATAATTGTTATATCGCATTAAAGGACTGGAAGGTATATGATAAAAAAAAATTTAATTGAAAAAACTACAATTTTTTAATGTCGGTCAGGGCAAAAAGTCCCGAGGCTGATAGAATGCTCTTTTTAGTTTTTTAAATTTTTCATCATATACCTACCTTTTAATCCATTTAAATAATGCGATGTAACAATTATTGTAATCTCGGAAACGGTTTATTTTATCGAAGTTTGAGTAGTACACCTTTTTAATGGTAGACGAACTGTGTTATTGAAAAATTGTATCAAATGTTATAAAAACCTAACCTTAAAGTTTGTATGGGACAATAAGCTTAAAGCAACCCCTGTTTCTACGACACTGTGTTCACTCAAACAATTATAATTGTTACAATTGTTTTGGTAGTAAGTGACTGTTTGCAAAATATCACTTTTCCAAGGTACCATAGTAGAGGTTATATTAAAAAAAACTGATATGATTAGTAACACTTTATCACCCTGTATCTTGGAAACATAAGTAATTAGGAAAAATATTTATTTGGGTTTTCGTCTTATTTTGACTTGCTCAATCTTTTCCTAGGAATATAGCTATATTTATGCCAATAAGTTTAGGGACACCTTGTATATATTTTTTAGAGGGAGATAAAGTTGTATCCCCGGCGACTCAATTTTTCCTTGCCGGATTTGAAACAACAAGTTCTACAATTGCATTTTGCATGTATGAACTGTGCATACAACCAAACATACAGCATAAACTAAGAGATGAAATACACAAAACAATTAAAAAACACAACGGGTTAACATATGAAGCCATCATGGACATGAAATATCTCAACATGTGTATTTGTGGTAGGTAAATATATTATACACTTGCAATTCTTACATTTTTAAAAAAGTTTTGGTTTTAATATCTTATTTTTTGTAGAAACACTTCGAATGTATCCAGTTTTACCATTTTTGGATAGAAATACAGAAATGGACTACAAAATTCCAGGAACCGATAAAATTTTGGAAAAAGGTACCCCCGTCTATATTCCAATGTTTGGTTTGCATTACGATCCAGAATATTTCCCCGATCCTAAAAAATTTGATCCAGAAAGATTTTCTGATGAGAATGTAAGCAAATTAACCAGTTTTAGTTATATTCCATTTGGCGAAGGGCCCAGAATTTGTATCGGTAAAAAAATAAATTTTGATTTAGTGAAAATCATTTAATTTATTAACTTTTAGGTGAAAGATTTGGATTGCTAGGCACAAAAGTTGGGTTGGCTAAAATAATATCGGAATACGAGTTGATAAAAATCAAAGAAACTCCTGTACCATTGGTGTATGAACAAAAAAGTTTTATTCTGGCTTCAAAAACTGGTATACCACTTAAATTTAAGAAATGTGTATCACATGCTGCTTAAGTGTTTATAACATAGATTTGTATGAGGTATAGGTAAAAAAGTTTACTTTAAAAATAATTATTATTATACAAATAAAAATACGGTAATACTTGTTATTTTTTTAAATAATTGTTGCATGGAATAACACAATAATTAGGTGCCATATTTCATAAAAGGTAAACTTTTAGTTTAGGTAGGTGGGGTACTGTTTTTAATTATATAAATATTTTACACATCATACATTTTTTTGTTGATAAAATTAAGTATTTATCTATCTATCTATAAAAGATTAAATTTAAATAATTAAATTAAAGTAATGGTAAATAAACTAGATAAAGTTATGTATGTTTTTATTTGGTTTGTATTTTTTTGTTAATAAAATTAAGTATCTATCTATCTATAAAAGATTAAATTTAAATAATTAAATTAAAGTAATGGTAAATAAACTATTTGTGTTTTTTATGTCTTTTTTTCAGAAAGGTTAGAAAACATAATATAATTAGGACTAAAGGGCCTAAATATTATTTACGCCCTTTAGTTTAGGACTACCATAGATACCTAATAATACTACAAGTAATAAAACACGCACGCACGATTTTTCATTAAAAAGAACTTATAGGGGATTTATTCTTTTTGTAGACATTTTAGGTGAAATATTTAAAATACTTGCCATCAAAATTGGTTTGGTTAAATTAATATTGGAGTATAGTCGATTAGATCCAAAAAAATCCAGTACAAACAAAAGTCTGGCTCAAAAACTGGTATACCACTAAAATATGCCAATTAACTGTCTATAAAAAATGTAAAAACATGGGATAATATAATGATAAAAAAAATAATATTTTGACATTTTATTTTAATATTTACTACATACAATGAACACATTATTTGGGTACCACATCTAATAAAAAAAATAGTAAATTAAAATTATATACAAAATAATTTATATTATAAAGATAACAATTGTTTGTAACCTTCCACGGTGTGTTTTTGTAGATTTAAATAAAAATGTCGAATTACGCCAATCTGCAAGCTGATTATGTCTCTAGAAGGCGGCAAAAATACAAATTTTGAAATTTTAATTGTTTAAAAAATTAATTTATCACCTAATAAAATATGAGTTTCAATCAAGATATAATATTTATAATAATGATAATATTTATAATAAAAATAATTTCTTGGTATATTTACAAGTATAGTTGAAAAAATCACAATAACAGCAAAAACTATAGTTCATTCAATTTACTGTCATTGTATTTTTGAAAAAAATGGATTAAAAAAAAGTTATGTGTGACTTTTTCCAAAAAAGCCATTTTTTCCAAGCCCCAAAGGGCAAGCACAAGAAAGATTTTTTCTAAAACGCCTTTATTATCTTTATGAAATTTTCCATAAAAATATTTTTATGGAAAATTTCATATATACGTCAACTTATATCTCAGTTTTCGTTTTCGATGGTTTTTCGAGAAAATATTTTTAAAGCCCTTTTATTTAATATTAATAAAATGTTTGAAAAATAACTTGGAAATTTTTTTTAAGTAAATAAAAAACATGCTGTTAAAAAGGTCATATTTTTGTTAGTATATATACTAACAAAAATATGGCCTTTAATATAGATAGTTCGTATATACCCTGAAAATTAAACGAAGATACAGCGCTTCAAAGTCGGTAAATGACCCCTTTGTGATTATTTTGCTGAAAAGTGGTCTTTTTTGACGACTTTGAAGCGCTGTATAAACATTTTCAGGGTATACTAACAAAAATACGGTCTTTCAAGGCATATTTTTTATTTATTTCAAAAAAAAAATTTTTTTTCGAGCGTTTTTTATTAATAAATAAAAAGGCTTTAAGGATATATCTGCAAACCCTGGTGATTATCAATATCGTGCGCATGCATGTCTGTGAATACATAAGTTTAGATCGCTAGTGAATTTTATCAAAATTCTAGTGGAATTTAAAGTGAAAAAGCATTCAATCCAATAGTAAAGTGAAATAGACAGTTTAAGCAACATCCATTCATAATAGATAGTGCCAAAGTCTCTTTCTAAAAGGAAAAATAGAGGTAAAATCTATCTTATAGGCAGTTAATAAACATCTGTAAAAAACATTCCGCCTACAAAATGAGCGGAGGACCCAACCATCGACTGCGATATATGTCGCCGTCCGCTTCATATAACATGTACCGGGCGCATTTTTCCGTTTCCTATAGGGCTAGCGCAACCGAGTGCGCTAATCGTGTAGGATACGGAAGCGAGACCTGCATCTCCGTTCCCTAAGTGGTTAACGCACCGCATACGAATAAGCACTCTGCAATGAGCTTTCTAGGTGATCTTTCTTTGTATGTACATATAAAATAATAATAATAATAACCAAACAAACAGATTGACGTATGTCTTAAAGGCGCGAATCATTGTATGCACGTTATAGCGCGATAATACACTAGAGGCTAAATGTAGCAAAGTATTCCTCAAGGTTATGACGAATAGCTGTCATCTTGGTTATGCAGATACATTACATTGTGCCATACCAAACCAACCCAAACTTAACAACCCAACCCAACCGACCCCGCCCCATTGGGCCCCTCCCGCCCCATTGAGCAATAGAGGTATAATATATCTAAGGGCAGGCTGGATTGTGACAATGGGGCGGGAGGGGCCCAATGGGGCGGGGTCGGTTGGGTTGGGTTGTTAAGTTTGGGTTAGTTTGGTATGGCACAATGCAGTGTACCTGCATAACCAAAATGACAGCTAATCGTCATAACCTTGAGGAATACTTTGCTACATTTAGCCTCTAGTGGTAATACCTAATTACAGGCGGTGCGTTAACCACTTAGGAACGGAGATACAGGTCTCGCTTCCGTATCCTACACGATTAGCGCACTCGGTTGCGCTAGCCCTATAGGAGACGGAAAAATGCGTACCGGGCTCTCGCGCGACGAATCAAAAATCTTGACAAGAAATCGCACTCGCTTTATTAAAATTGTATGCAACATTTGCAGTGAAAATATGAACCAACTATCAGCGCCCTAACAAAGAAAATATCTGAACTGGAGAACAAAATATCCGTCAATTTTTCCAATAACAACTTTAATTTTGAAGATGTTGTTCATGAAACCGAATTAAACGCTCCAACAATGTAATCATTCACGGACTACCGGAGTCTACTAGCAGTACGGAGGATCGAAAGAAGTTGGATTTAGATTCAGCTAAGAATATACTTTCGGTTATTTCTGCGGATTTGAATACTAATTTTCTAGACACAATTCGCATTGGAAAACCGACAGCAGGGAAAAAAAGACCCCTAAAAGTAATACTTTCAAATAGTTCAACCGCTTTAAATGTCTTAAGAAATAAAAGCAAACTAGCAAATTCTGTTTACAAACACATTAATATAACAAACGATAAAACACCAAAGGAAATGGAATATCTAAAAAAACTAAGTGATGAATTGAATCAACGCACGGATAGTGGTGAACCAAACTTAATAATTAAATATATAAAAGGAGTTCCAAAAATTGTAACGGAGCACCCAAACGAATAAATACTTTTAAACTATACAATTGGCTACTTTTGTATACAAACATTGCGTCACTACCGGCTAAATTTGATGAATTTTGTGCAGTAATAAATAATTTAAACCCTGCTATCTGTTGTTTAACTGAAACATGGCTTCAAACTAATACACCAAGTCATCTATTTAACCTCAACAATTACCTAATTTACAGAAGTGATCGACTCACTAGGGGAGGTGGAGTATGCATATATTTACACAAAGAAGCCTTTAAAGATTTCCAAATAAAACAATGCAATATATCCTGTCCAAATATCGAATTATTATCTTTGCAAATTAATTTTCAACAATTACATATTTCCCTTATTTGTCTCTATAGACCTCCAAATACAAGCATAGCCACTGATAACCAACTTACATCATTAATTTCAGATTTGTGTTCTTCTAAATCAAATATTATTATAACTGGAGACTTTAATCTTCCCAATTTCTCGTTATATAATCCTCATAACGAAAATAGAACAACGGCCAATAGTATTTATCACAATTTATTTCTGGAAAATAATTTAAATCAACTGATTTCTGAACCCACACGGTATCGTGTAAATCAAACTTCTTCAATCTTAGATTTTCTTATAACAAACGACACACAACTATTATCAGATATATCATATCTTCCCCCAGTAGGAATTTCTGATCATGTTCTTATCTCGACAAACATTCAAATTAACCACCGACCTCACAAAAATTACGTATGGGTGGAAAAAGAAAAAATAAACTACACAAGAGTGGGACAAACACTAACAACGTTGGAATGGAATACCTTTCTTGAAAATTTTTCTGTAAATGTACAGTGGAGCAATTTTGAAAGAGAAGTCAAAAATATATTAAAACTAAATACCAAAAAAATATTTACCAAAGTGGTTCCAGAAAAACCTTGGATTTCAGGCGATATTTTAAAAGAAATTCGAAGAAAAAAATCTTTATGGCAAAAGTTTAAACGTAGCTCAGCAAATGAAGATTTCATAGCCCACAGAATCTTCTCAAACAATTTATCTCTAAAAATCAAAATGGCCAGGACACTATACGAGCGGACACTTATTTCATCTGGAAACCCAAAAAAAATTTATAAGTATATTCGAAATGGTCTAAATTCCAAAGTAACAATTCCTTTAATTAGAAAAGAAGATGGAAACATCTGTTCAAATAATCTGGAGGTAGCAAATACCCTGGCAAATTTTTTCTTTTCCTCCTACACTGCAGAATTAAACACACATATGCCGAAAATATCAACATCGAAAAATAACTCGTCTCTGGCTACTATAGACTTTAGCATTGAAAATGTAAAAAAACATCTTGGGCTATTAAAGAACAACAAATCCCCCGGACCAGATAATTTAAACTCAAACTTCCTTAAACAATTCTCTGATCAACTAAGTGTTCCATTATCAAAAATTATGCAAACATCATTTGATACATCTGAATTACCAGCTATGTGGAAAACAGCTCTAGTAACCCCTATTTTTAAAAAGGGCGATAAGTTGGATGCCAATAATTATAGACCCGTAAGTTTATAAACTATAGTTGTTATTGCTGCAAAAGTCATGGAATCAATAATTGTTGAAAAACTGACACCTTTTTTGTTGGAAAAAAGAGTACTACCGGACTGTCAACACGGTTTTCTTCCAAAACGTTCTACCATAACGAACTTGTTACATTGTGTAAATGACTGGACCCTCAATAAAGACAAAAACAGTCCGACCGACATAATCTACTTGGATTTCTCGAAAGCGTTTGACAGAGTTCCCCATACTAGATTAGCTTTCAAATTAGAACACATGGGTATTACAGGAAAACTACATGCTTGGATTTGCAGCTTT